ACTGGAAGGAGTAGGGCCCAGCATGGTGGCCTAGTGGCTTAAGTCCTTGCCTTGAATGCTCCAGGATTCCATATGGGTGCTGGTTCTAATCCCGGCGACCCTGCTTCCCTTCCAGCTCCCTTCTTGTGGCCTGGGAAAGCAGTTGAGGACGGCCCAAAGCTTTGGGACCCTGCACCCTTGTGGGAGACCTGGAAGAAGGTCCTGGCTCCTGGCTTCAGGTCGATGAAGCTCCAACCGTTGTGGTCACCTGGGGAGTGAACTATTGTATGGAAGATCTTCCTCTCTGTCTCTCTACCTCTCTCTCAAACAAACAAACAAAACAACAACAACAACAACAAAACCAAAAAACCAACACTTGGAAGAGTAGAGTGAATGGAAGGAAGTTCCTCCAAATTTCAGCTGCACAAGGTGCTCAGAAGTCCAGAACAGGTGGAATCTGAGCAGTGCTACACCTGCTTCCTGTCCCTAGGGAAATCTGTTCACCTCGAAGAGTGCTTCCTACTCATAGTTAGTGTGTTCTCACTATTAGATTTTTGCCAAATGATGGGCAAAAGAATGGTGTACTACTCTATTTTCAATATTCTGGATAATGTTATTCAAATTTTCATATATTACATAGCCATTCATTTATTTCCTGTGTTCTGTGTCCTTTACCTAATAATTACATTTCTTTCCCCTATAATTGGGAGTTCCTTATAGAGTATTTTTGTGTTGGCTGTCTTTTGACTTTGTTTCACAGAGATTGTTTTATGGCTCTTTTCTCTGATGACATTTAGGATTTCAGTCTTTCTTGTAAGTGGCTTCACATCTCTAATGTTTAAGAAGCAAATGAATTGCAGAAACTGAGTGGTGGAGGTCTTGTTTACTTTTTCATGTAGTTCTTAAAAATTCCTATTTTGAGGCGAATTATATTTAACGTTTACAGATCATCATAAGAGGAAGTGAAATCTTTGAAGTACTGTTAGGCCTTCCTACTTATTCTGAGTTCTTTGTACAGCTTAAGTTCCTAAGAATTTTGTCTTTTTGTTCACTGTTAATGTGGCAAAAAAAATGCCATTAAATGGTCTGTTGATTGCTTATCTGGCACAGGATGAGTTGAAGCTTTCCAGGGGATTCTAATATATTAGAGTACAATGGTCAGGAGTGGAGGGGTAATCTGGAAACTGCTGGTTATAATCAGGAATGAGTATGTTGTCATTGATATTATTTAAAATTGTCAGTGTTGGTGCTAATAATACTGATAAACCACACTGGCTAAAGGTTTTTATTACTGTTTATAAGTTCTCTGGAGCAAGGCACTCCTCATTGACTAGACCCAGGGTCAAGTACCCCTACCTCTTGGGGCTTCTTGTTCCAAAGAGCAGTCAAGGTTGAGAAACCATTGTCCTGGTGTCTTCCACTGCTCTCTGCCCTTCACATGCAGTCACTTGTCACGTGTTGCCAGGCTGCCTCTTACATTTCTCTCACTTATTTTTGCCTGATCCCTTCTTCTATGAGTCTAGTAGGCACAGCATCTTTTCTCAGGACTCGAGTCTCACTTCCCTTGGGTCTGTCTGCTCCATTCTTCCTGAGCCATAGCTGTGTCTTTAAGCACTGATAAGATTCTGTTGTCTCTCTTCCTTTCGGCTAAGCCCTGCACATCTGCCCAGCTTCCCTTTTGCCATTTCTTACTGGAATAGTCTTTCTTGATCAGGACACTGAATTTCCATTTGGCACAAACCAGTCTTTTCCCTGAGACTCTGGCACCTGATTAAAAAAAAAAAAATCACTGAATTCCTTTTGCACAGAGGACTTGAGATTACAGGTAATAATTTCAGGAAACTGGTATTCAGGATCTACTAGGCACCAGACTGTGAAGTAAAAGCTTTGTACATTCCATATCATGAATTCTGCTTTGCAGGTAAGGAAACTTGGAAAAAATACACAACATTCCCAGGCCAGCCTCAGCATTTCCTAGGTATATCCCTCTGGTGCTATGAAAGGGCTGAGAGTGGGGATAAGGTACATTGCCAGCACATTTGGAATGGCCTTGGTGGGGGATGGAAATATTTCATAGTGGTCTTTTCCTCACCTGATGTGGACCCACACTGGGTTGCAGCCTGTGTGTGGATGGTCCAGCATCCAGCTCCATGTCAATCCTTGAATAGTTTTCTGGTGTTTGCCTGCTGATGACTGTCACACTAATTAAACTTTTACTAATGATAGATGCCTTAATCTTCAAACTTTTATGTATTTTTAAAAAAATGTATTTCAGAAAGCCAGCTAGTTTTAAGGTATTTTGAATTTTGTAATGCAGCACATTCAGACACTGTTGATTATAGTGGATGTTTGTCAAACTTTGGGACTTCCCAACCCTCTTGAACACTTTTGAAGTTTTGGGTCTTCTCCATCTTACATTTCCTAATTCTCTACATCCTGTTTCTCAGGTTCCCATGCAGTTAGGACATGAAAATTTATCTAAACTCTTGGCAATCAGCTTCGAACTTTCAATTTATAAATAAGTTCCAAAAGGAGGAGGTGCTGTGCAGAATTCTTTCTGTAGAGGGTAAGAGGAACAGATAGTCAGCTGCCAGAGGTAATCATCCTGCCCTAGCTGTAGGCAGCTGCCTAGGTTGTCTCGTACCTAGGCAAGAGTTAAACTACTGGTAGAAAAGCAGTCAGTAGCTGGTGGGAATTCTGGACCTGGTTAATTTCAACTCTGTGTTAACTACCTGGTTAATGTCAACTCTGTGTTAACTGTACCAGTGTGCCAGCATAGTTGACACAAGCCTTGGCCTTGTGTGGTTAACCTTCCTGTGCCCTTTTGTGTATACACTGGGACCTGTAACAATACCCATTCCCACCACCTGTCACTTCCTAGAGTACAGAAGAGGTTACACATACTCAGAGCCTCTCATGGTTATTAGCCGATGCACATGAAGGAGGACAAGAGGGAAGTAAACAAGAGACATAAAATTAGTATCTGGTGAGAGGATCATAGCTGATCTGACCCACTAGCTTCGGTCCCATCTGCCTAGGGATATTGGATTTTTGCAGTACTGGCTTAATGGCTTTCTAAGTGTTTTTGGGCAGCAGGCATCCCCCTTTTTATCCCCTAACCTCAGCCAAAGCCATAAATTCTACCTGAGACTTAACATCTAAATATAGTCCAACTCCCTGGCCCACCCTCATCGTGGCTCAAGCCCTAATCTTGTAATTTCTGTTTCTTCCTGCCTCTTCTCTCTGATATTCTTTTTCCTTAGTTCATATGGAAATCTGTCACTGCCCTAAAAACAAACCTGGAGGTGGGCCTTGTGGCACTGCAAGTTAAACCACCACTTGGGATGCTTGCATCTCACATTGGGATGCTTGATGGAGTCTTGGCTGCACCATGCTTTTGGTCCACCTAATGTACCTGGGAAGGCAGTGGGTGATAGTCAAGGTGCTTGGATCCCTACCACCCAAGTGAGAGACCTTGGTGGAGTTCCTGACTCCCAACTTGAGCCTGATTCAGATCTGGCTGTTGTGGCTGTATGGCAAGTAAACCAGCTGATGGAACCAGGCGCCCTGATAAGTGATGCAGAGGTCCCAGGTGCTGTTGAGACATAAACTGCGAGGCCAAATGCCTGTCGTGGGTTATGTTTTAAACAAGTCACTTGGGCTCCTGAAAGAAAAAAGAGATTATAGGGTTGAGGTCTAGGTGGATAAGAATGGAAGCAGGTGCACAAGGCAGCATGACATTGGTGCTGAGATGCTGGTGGCTTAGATAGTAAGTATCCAAGGACACAGAAAGAAGTGATCAGATGCATGCTCTATTGCAGGTTAATGCCCCTGCTTGCTGAGGCACTGACTGGCTTGGAGGGTGGTGTCATAAAAATCTAATATGACTTAGGGTGGATGATGTTGTCATGGGCTGGGATAACCAGGAAAGGAAATTTTGGGGAGAAAGTTGAATGGACTTTGGACATGTTCCATGTCAGGTACCAGAGGTGATGACATGGTAGCTGGAGTAGTCTGGAGCTCTGGGAGAGCCCTTGTAGATTTTCTTTTATGAGTCATCAGTGTGTAGATGATATAACAGTCATGGGGCTTGGGAGGGATGGCGCAGAGAGGCAGTGTAACTAGATCAGGCAGTTCGGGGATACTCCAGTGTTTAACAAACAGGAGCCAAGCAGCCTGAGGAGCAGGGTTATCCAGGAACCAGCACAGCTGATCGTGTTAGGCTCTAAGTGAGCATGGAAGGTATATCCAGATGGAGGTGATTAACTGTTCCCAGCATCAGTGAGAGGCACAAACAGCCAGTGGACATTTATTCCTTGTGTGACAACAGTAAGTCAGTTACACATTGCAGACCATCAGAAAGAATGATATATCTTCTGTAGGATAGGCAGCCCATCAGTCTTCTAATGCCAGCTTCCTCCTCCTCTCCCCACCCCCGCCTCCTGCCCTGCAACCAGGGCTTATTATTCTCCACCCCACCACCAACCTCACATCTGCTGAAATCGATGTTTCATTCATGCTGGTTTCCATCTCTTTACACTCCCATATCTATATCCACATGGGGTCTCCAAAAGCTTAAGAGGTAGGTGGACTTTGGTAACGTCTGAGCAGCAGTTACAACTGCTCATTTGGCATCAGCAACGGTGAACAGGTCGAGCTACAATAGGCAAGAATTTGGATGCTTCAGATGTGTGGCTGGGCTGTAGGAGGCCCTCACATGATCCTAGGAATCCAGACGATGTCCCTCTCTCCGGAGACACAGGGTGTGTGCTTGTCCAGAGGCCTGTCTTTCCAGTCGCCTCACATCTCGGGTCCCGATCACGCGCCCCCCACCCAGAGGCGCGCCTGACGCGGCGGTGGCTCATGCGCCTTTCCGTCCAAGCCTTCTGCCACGGAACACACGTCCCATCTTTGCAGCCCAGCCCAGCCCCGCCTCGCGCCCCGGGCGCACCTCCCCAGCCCGCCAGCTCGGGTGTCTGAGCGGCCGCGCCCGCGGGCCGTGCGCCCTGATTGGCTGTGCCGATGCGGCGGGCGGCCCACGGGCGCACACACCCTCTCTGTGCAGCCAATGGACGTGCGCGCGTCACTGACCGGGCGGCCCGCGAGCGGCAGCCCCTTCAATAAGCCACATTGTTGCACGAAACTCCAGCGCAAGAGTCCCGGGCTGCCGCCTTCATCGCCGAGTCACACAGCTAGGAAGATCTACCGACGGGAGCATCGCGCACATTTGTCTAAGAGGTCCGATCACCCCAGTGAAGCTGGGCTGCGGTTCTTTCCAAGTTGAGTTTAGTGCCCCTGTGGCTTAGGTTAGTGCTTTGACGTAGGGCAGCCGGACACGTTGCCTGGAGTGTAATACTTAGTCGCTTTTACCAGTTGTGACTCCAAAGAATTCCTGTTCCTAGAGCCCCGAGTTCCCACCTAACCAGGCGCGCTTTCGCCGTTAGCCTTCTTCGTGGATTCCCTGCTCCCCGTCGGGCCCGCCGAGTCTAGGCACAAAGCGGTCGTACCACCCCCAAGCGCTCGCGCTTCGGTTTCCCAAAGTCGGCACCGTCTGGTCGCGCGGTAGGATGATTGCCTCGCATCTGCTCGCCTACTTCTTCACGGAGCTCAACCATGATCAAGTACAGAAGGTAAGTCAGCGGAGCGGGGGCGGCCGGCTCGCTTCTGACAGAGTTGCGCGGTCTCGGGGACCTCCTTCTTGGCCCTGCCGGGACCCGCTTACTCTCCATTCCCGACTAACTTAGATGGAAAAGTCTGAGCAGCCGGCAAAACTCTCGGGCTGGAGGAACCAGGTCCGGCAGGCTAGTGCGCACAAGCCGGGAGCGGGGGGCTCGCGCGCCGCCCGACTGGGTTCCTCGCTGCCATCCTGTGCACATTCGCGTGGCTGCCCCTACCCCCTTTCTTGTTTCGGGAGCGGCGAGTCGCCCGGCACGTAGTCAGGGACTGCGGCGCCCACGTGGTAAGGACCCCCCTTCTCGCAGGCGAGTTCCGGCGAGAGCACGTGGGGGAAGCATCGTGGCTGGGGGAGGAGGCTCCGTGGCCGCGTGGAGCCAGCGCCGGCATCCAGACGGAATGCGAGCGGGAGGCGCGCGGCGGCCCCCGCCCAAGCAGCGCCGCGGCCCCGCGGAGGTGGACTTCGGGGAACCGAGCCGGGGAGGCGCTGAGAAGCGAGCGGAGGAACTCCGCCCGCCGCGCCCCCTCCCCGGAACTGAGGCGCCCGGAACTGAGGCTCGGCCAGGGGCTCGCGTCGCCCGCCCCCAACTCGGCCTCGTGTCCCCGGGGCCCGCCTCCGCGTGGGGGCGGGATTTGGATGTTACTTTCTGCGTTTGCTTTTAAAAGTTACTCAGAAGAGTACCAACCCCCGCCCTTTCCCGGATTCCCTAAGATTCTTGTCCTCCTGAAAGAGGGATTTCTGCGCTCTGGGCCACGGCCGGTCGGCGCTGCCAACGGCTCGTGGAGCCGGGGCCTCCCCGCGCCGCCCAATTTACATAAGAAAGAGCCTAGGGGCCCTGCCGGGAGCCTTTCACCCCGCGTCCCGGTGCGGTGGGGGCGAGCTCGGTGGCCCGGGGTGCGCTCCCTCCCGGGGGAATGAGGCTCTACAGTGGCTGGGATTAAGGGATTGTCCCCTGGCTTGAGGTTTGACTGAGATTGGAAGGAGAGGATGAACTGGCTGGTGGAACGGCGAGTGTTGTGGAGTTGTGAGGCAGTGGAGCGAGCATTGCTCAATGACACACTTGAAATCTCGGAATCAGAAATCAGTAATGTCTTCTGACAGTTTCGTTCTGCTGGTCTTCCCATTCTGATGCAACTGGAACCTTGGCCAGACGAAGAGCCGAGGGTAACTGGGTTGATTGAGTTGTATCCCGTCTGGAAACGGCTGTTACCCTCGGAACCCTGGATGTGGCTGCGCCTTTACAACTCGGCGTGCCTGGAAACGTGGCTGTGAGCTGGCAGTCTTTCTGCCCCGCCTCCACAGAAACGAATTAACTCTTGCGGGGAGATTGTCATCTCTTGGTCAAGTCCTCATGCTCGAAGTGGTGGAAGATCACTCATTCCCCCCCTCCCCCCGTCCCCGGAGGAGGAGCGGGGTTGTGTGTATCTGGCTCCAGGACGTTTGGGTTCTTTCATAAACTTCCGTAAGCCAGAGGAAGATGCTGGGTGTCCGTGAATGAGCCCAGGTGTCTGGGAGTGGGTCCCAATCCTTGACTTGAGATTTATTAACAGCAAGAGTATCTATTGCTTTTTAAAGACGCAGGTGGTGGCAGCCTCTTCCACTTCGTGGAGTTGTAATGATTAAGCACTATGTTGGCGTTTGATCGCACAGTTTGCAGTTAGAATGTCCCACTGGAGGAGGCAGTTCCTCTAAGTTACCACTAGGGGTAGAGGGGAATCAGGGCTTTAACTCCACCAGGGCTCCCATTCTGGGGTTTAGGCTCCCAGCTCAGGTGCCCGAAGCTGTTGGATTGTGGTTGCATTAAGATAGGAAGTGAGAAGGCAGAGTATGTTAGAAACATCCTTTAAGAGTTGCTGTTAGAAGGAGGAATGAGAGGAGGGTGAAGCTTAACTTTGTCTTTTGAAAAGGCCTTGATTTGATGCTTCTGAAATCTCCTTGGGATGACATCATCTTTGTGTTATGTCATCTGAGTGCATGGAGTGCTTGGGGTCACGCACACAGAACTAGTCCCGTTGGGATCCATGGTATTAGGATGAGAGTCAGGGATGTTGGCTGTCTTTATTTTTGCCAATTCACACAATTCAAGAGCAAACACAGGGGCGTCCTGACTAGCTGAGGCTGTTCTAAGCTCTTGACATAAGTTAACTCATTAACATTTACAGCAGCCCTGTGAGATAAGTGTGAGTATTGTCAGCATCTGTTTTACTGGTGAGGAACTGAGGCATGGAGTGACCTGCTCAATGTCACCAGCTTTATTACAGGAGCTGTGAGCCAAAGTCACAGGCGTGGCCAAAGTCACAGGCGTGGCTCCAGGCATTTGCCTGTCTCCCAGGAGTGCTAGCGGGGCTCCTGGCTGTGTCTGTGTCCTCACCCTGGATAGCACACCCTCCCAGCATGTCTGGGAGTGGAACTGCTTTTCCCAGTGGTCTGGTCAGTGGCACCAGCACCCTTGGCTATTCCAGCTGGGAGCCCCTGGTTCATTTTCACCGACTTTCTGATCACTAGATGGTTACTCCCAAGTGCCTCTCTGTTTCTTAAGGCAGAAATGGCTCATTTCAGAAGTCACCTACATCTGCATTGGCTCCTGAATGCTGCTTGACCCTACTCTGCATCTCAGCTTCATTGTCCTCACATCATTTCATTCCCCCAAAACCTGAATTGCCATTCCTCTACTCCATGCTTACTTCCATTGGGACCTTTTGCTCAGGCCCTTTTTGCAGCCCCAAATGTTCTGCCTACCTTTTCTGCATTTGACCTTTTCCAGCTAAATGCTGCCTGCCCTCCTCAATATCTCTCTTCCTCCTTCCCTGCTCCCTTCTCTGGGCCCACCTTATTGTAATTGAACCTCCCATGGCATTTGTTTTTTTCTTGCATATGTAAGAGTTGATGGTTTGTATTCTGGGCTCCTTTCTCGGGGCAAGGAGAATCCTGGCTGGGCACTTCAGCCACTGCAGTTTCTGCCCACTGGTGATAATGCTCAGTGAGTGCAGGGATGCAGGAAGCAGAGGAAGGTTGGATGGGTGGACCTTGGGAGAGAAACTTGGTTCTCAGGGCTGCTTCTTCAGTGGAAACATGGCTTGCGGTTGATGCTAAAGCAGGTGATAGTGGTGGAATGGGGGAGAGGAGTTCCTGTTCCTGTAGTAACCAAGACTTTCAGTCCTCTGTGGATGGAGTTTTTGTTTGTTTGTTTGTTTGTTTTTTAACTAATTGGGGTTTTTGTCTCTTTTTAAGAGAGGCTTAGGGTTTTTTTTTTTTTGGCAGGGCAGAATTAGAGATGATCTGTCCACTGGTTTCACTTCTCAAATGGGGCAAGGGGCAGGGCTAGACCATTAGCCAGGGACTCCATTTGGGTTTCCTACATGGGTACAAGAGCCCAGATACCTGAGCTGTCCTCCAGTGCTTCTCCAGGTGCATTGCTAGGAACAGCCAGAACTGGAACCAGTGCTCATATGGTATGCTGACATCACAGATGGAATCTTTAACCCTCTGTGCCACAATGTTGGCCCCAAGATTTTTGTCTCTTAAATGTTAGAACCATGGTTAACCATGTATATACCAGTGTATACCTTTTTCTTTAGCCAATGATCAAATTATTTTTCACTCTGTAAGAGCTCCCAACTTTTGGTCCACTCCTCAGATACTGTAACAGCAGACATAAATTCAATCCAGGCCGTTAGTACCCATCACTGTTCTCTCCCAGAATTTACCCTGGTGAGAAGCCAGAGTAAGAACTAGAGTCAACTGATGTCAGGAATCCAATCCCGGGAACCCAGTGTGAGACATGTGTGTCTCTCCCCTGCCTGTCACCCCCCACTTTAATAAAGATCTATTTATTGGAAAGGCAGAGTTATATATAGAGAGGGAAAGACGGAGAGGACTGGGCCAGACAAAAGCCATGAGCCTGGACCTTCATCTAGGTCTCCATTAAGGGTGCTCGTGCCATCCTCCACTGCTCTCTGAGGCATATTATCAGGGAGCTGGAAAGGAGGTAGAACAGCTGGGACTTGAACCTTAACTCACAATATGACAACATTGCTGGCAGCAGCTTTTTCTGCTGAGCTATAATACCAGGCCCTGGACATGGATGTCTTAAATGATGTCTTAAGCAGTAGACTAAATGCTTGCCTCTCCCAATTGGTTGACATATAGAGACTGGTGATATTACCACTCTGGTCCTGGGATATATGTAGCTCACTTAAAGCTCCTGGCAGGAATGGCCTTAATTCCGCTTGAGTGGGGAATACCTTGGAACTGAAAAGCTTCTTCAGAGCTTCAAGAATCAAAATAGACAAGACTTGTTTCTTGAGACCCTACTGTGAATACAAGGCATTCTGGGGGCATTTCAGTTGCCTGGAGAAGTAAGATTCCAACAGAAGATCATTTATGGCCGCCAAGCCAAAGAGGGCATGTTAGTGTGAGTGGATGGGGTGTTAGAGACCTCCAGGGAACACTGAAGCATTTTGAATACCTATTTGCCATTAATCTCCAGATAAGAGGTTAAATGATGAGAGTAAACCAGTGATGAAACTTTAATAGGTTATTTTTGAGCAGGTTAATTAGATTGATATTGATGGGTTAACTGGCATTGGTAGATATGATTTATCTCATTTGGTCCACATTTTTTAATCAACCTTGTCCCTTCACCTATTCTCAGACAACTTTGTGGTAAGACTGTTCTGTCGCTTTTACTAACTATGCTTTTGTTTATGTTATTTGTTAGAAGCACTTTTTTCTATATCCTTGCATGAATTAAAATTCCCTCTGAGGTCACATAGCCAAAGCCAACATCACTTTTCAAAGCGAATTTTTCCAGCACCCTGTAGAGTTTGGGGGCAGCCAGGGGCCTCTGGAAATCAGGGCATCACAACCACAAAGTCAAAATGTGGCGGCTGGAGTCAGATCTGATGTGCTAAGGAACTCGGGAGCCCCAGAAACTCAGAACTCAGGAGTTTCTTT